GGGTAGCTCTTTGGTCACCAAAATTGTATGCAAAAATATCTCCAAAATAGGGAAATTAAAATATTTGCTAATTGGAATTTTGGTAATCTAGGAATTAGCTTCTTGAAAATTCTGAAAGAGTCTCGAAAAATTGGAACCTCCTATCTTTCTCACGGCTTCAAACTCTTTCAAACGAAATCGACTAAGATAGCTCTTTGATCACCAAAATTGCGTGCAAAAATATCGTCAAAGAAAAATTAAAATATTTGCGAATTGTAATTTTAGAAACTCAGAAATTTGCTTCGTGAAAATCATGAAAGAGCCTCGAAAAATTGGAACCTCCTATCTTTCTTACGGCTTCAAACTCTTTCAAACGAAACCCGAGTAGTGTAGCTCTTTGGTCACCAAAATTGTATGCAAAAATATCGTCAAAATAGGAAAATTAAAATATTTGCTAATTGTAATTTTGGTAATCTAGGAATTAGCTTCTCGAAAATCCTAAAAGAGCCTCGAAAAGTTTTAATTTTCTACCTTTTTCACGGCTTCAAACTCTTTCAAACGAAACCCGAGTAGGGTAGCTCTTTGGTCACCAAAATTGTATGCAAAAATATCGCCAAAATAGGGAAATTAAAATATTTCCTAATTGGAATTTTGGTAATCTAGGAATTAGCTTCTTGAAAATTCTGAAAGAGTCTCGAGAAGTTGGAATTTCCTACCTTTCTCACGGCTTCAAACTCTTTCAAACGAAATCGACTAAGATAGCTCTATGGTCACCAAAACTGCGTGCAAAAATATCGTCAAAGAAAGATTAAAATATTTGCGAATTGTAATTTTAGAAACCCAGAAATTAGCTTCGAATTTGGTATTCCAGAATGCGACAGAATATCGAGAATCCTCAGAGTCTTCGATCGTCTTTTACGACGAGCCACGTCGTCGCAAAGTGCAGGTATTTTAGAACGCTATTTCGAGCGGAGTATCTGACAATGACATAAAACACGGAATCGCCTTTCTTCGTCGACTGTCTCTAAAACGTGTCGTCCGTTTGAATCCTTCCCTACCCAGAGGAATCGTACTCGGTACGCCTAAACCGGTACAGAGTCGCTCGTCTGAAAGTCCCATTAGGACAACGGTCTAATATGATGACAACACGTGACAGGCTAGCTCGTACACTGCGTGGATGTTAAGAAACACGAACGTGGAAGTTTGCCCGTTCAGTTGGGTCAGGCCAGTGTGTCACCTGGTCACCCTCCTGCGATTCTTTTTTTACACCATCCCATAAAATTCGAAACGACTGCGGAAGCCTATCGATCGCGAATCTCTGGAAGGAAAAATGGCCGCGGGTGTCAAGCTTTAATAAAGACAAAACGCGGGTTCCCATCGCAATCGATACCCATTTAATTAATATAATGGCGCGACGCTGCCCGCTTTTCGCGCAAATTATTGCGGTAATTAACGCATCGATCACTGTCTATAAAGCGTCGTTAATATCCCGCGATATCGATGAACGTTATTCTGTCAAACACCACCGATTAACATAGGATATATCCCGTGGATCTCGGATTAAACGAGCAGCTGACGGAAGAAGTGGCAAAGTTGACAGAGACATGTCCTCCTAGGATGCAGAGGTTTTAATTAAAAGTTTCCAAGTGACCATTTGACCGTGGCAGGTTCAACTCGCTGTCAAGGATCAGGCAAGTTATAGAAGCTCCTCTAGTTGCACAGCTATCCGCAGCTTCTTTCACGCGAGCAGCATCCCACGCTGCTAACAAGCTGCTTAACAGGCTACCGCGAAACAAACTCGCAGCTACGTAGTTGACGCTGCCATCACGGGCCACCAGAACCAGCTAGGAAACTAATCTCAGTCGCCATCGGAAGGCGGAAGGGATCCAGGTGGTCGAGAAACAATATCCCGCGATATTACTAGCTGACGCGTCGCGGAATATATTAGATCCGGTCCAATTACAATGTCCCGATACGTTCTATCCCACGTAAGCTGTTTTCGCAGACTACGTCTCTCCCACGCTCTCGCTCCCTCTCGATCACCCCGGAGCCACGAAATGGAAAACGCGTTTGCGTTCTAAGCTGCGGCTTAATATAAGCCGTTGACCGGCTCCGCCAGTGATTTCGATGTTGCGATAGCCGGGGGATCCAGAGGGGGGACCAACGTCCCTACAGCCCAGCGATCCTCCATCGATTTTCTCCTCGATCTCCGCGAGTCGGAGATTAGGTCAGGGACCAGAGAAACGGGTTAGGCCGAGCACAGGCGACGCCAGAGCACGGTCGTACCCGAGTGATGAGATGATTGGCCCGCTAATGAAACCTGATAGAGAAGCTCGCCACGACTGCCTCGTTGCGGATTATTCCGTCGTGTAACGCGATGGCGATCCCGTGCACGCTTCCGGCTAGCCTGCGCCTAGTCTCATCCACCCTCTGCCCTTCTCAGATGCAAGATTCGCGGCTCGTGTACAACCCGTTTGCCTTTTTCGCTCGCTGGACAGGCAGATTTTCTGCGGATAACGCCAGCTCAGGATGATGCACTCGCAGCATTCGCCTCGCCTTTGTTCTCCGCTTCTTTTCACAGTCCTATGCTCGTTACGATGTTAGCTCTTTCGCGGAATTAGCCCCAGTACTCGCACTGAAAGCGAGACGTGTACTGTACTGTACGTGCACGTGTGAGGATGAGAAGGTTTGGGAATGCACTCTGCGTGCACTCGGTTTCTTCTCTTTTTAATACTCGAACTGCCCCACCTACAATCTGTCAATAGATATGGTATACGTGGATGGTATGAGTAGGCATCTCTGAATTTTAGAAGAATTTTTCCAATTATTGTGAACACAATAAGCTCCCGACATGAGATTTAGGCTAAATCTATCGTGGTCAAATAACCGGTGCATGAGAGGGAAGTAGAATCTTGAGAAATGGAATAACTATTGACAGAGTATTGGAAACAAAGCCGCGTAGATGAGTGATAGAGACGATAATATTGAATGTGGAATGTTTAAATTAAACTTTGAAGGTTTAGAAATCGACGATATAGGCTATGGTAGGTTTCCTGTATAGTTGACATGCCAAAATCGTAGTAATAATGATAAAAATCCGGAAGCAGATATCCCGATTGATTTGACAGTTTGTCTTAATCGATAATCCGGAGTCCGAAGAGGGTATACATGCCCCCAGACTTGATGTCAGAGCGTGACCGATTAAATGCTAGGACAGTTGTGGAAAAATCGAAAGTGGAGGCGAGATACGACGCGTCGTCTGGAACCAGTCGGCCCCTCGCCCCGCGATTTTTCCTGCCGGGGCAACCGGTCCGGGAGAAAAATCGCGCCCTTATCCGAGAAATGGGGTCCATAAAGAATCCGAGGAATCGGTGCGAGATAGGGTGATCGCCTCGTATAAGTCGACTCGGTATCGCGACGGTGGCCTGTCGACAAAGTGGCGAGTGATAAAACGCTCTGAGGATCGAAACGAAGGCACGAGGAATCGGTTCGTGGAAGAAATATCGCGTTTGTTTTCCGGCCGACCGTTCCATGGAACGCTACATTGTCCTAATGGCGGTCAAAAGCGTTCCGTCCCAAAACTCACCATTTTTCGCAATTTTTTCGCGAATACTCTTCGACGATATTCCACCGAAGAACATCGCGAGGGAACGCGAAACGGGCTAATTAAAGAAACGTTTCTTCCCGCTCTCCTCGCGACACTCTCGAAACGTAAACAAACGAGAAAGGATTTCAAATTTCCGCGAAATGGTGCAACCATCGATAAATGAATTTCCCAGCCACTTACCCTCAACGCGTCGACCACGCTGGATATTTTTCCCCGAGACTTGGCAGAGTTTTCCCGGTGTCACCGTGCACTTCTTGCTCCCTGAAACTTTTCTGGTTTTCACCGGGGATCAGAGGGAAGGAGAGAGAGAAAGGGAGAAAGAGGGAGACAGGGTGAAAGGGAGGAACAGGGTGAAAGAGACAGGGAGAGAGGCAACAGCCGTTTGAACATCAACAGCTGCATCGCAGCCCGCCCCAGCTAGCCGCCTCTTCCTCCATTTGCTCCTCTCGCATTCTTCGTGGAATAGTTTGGTCTCGCCGCGGATATACACACCGACTACGCCCAGAGAGAACGAAAGAGATTAAGAATATCTTTTCTCGGGGTCCTCGCTGGCCGACCAAACGAACCGTTTCCTTCGCCCGTCCCGTCTAGCCTCAGACGCCGTAGCTCGAGCACCACTGTGCCTCGTAGAACGAGAAAAAATATCCGTGTCGACCCCTGAACCCGAAACCCGCGTTCTCGACCAAGGAACGCCGGGACGCACAGGGCCTTGAACAACGACGCTGGAATTATAAAGCTCTCCTCGAGATAACGCCGTGTCATTCCAGGTTCCCAGACTTGGACTAGACACCCGTGAGAAGGAATAGCTCTCAGAAATCGCTACCTTCTTCGAGAGAACTATGGATTCGCGTGTATCAGAGGGTTCACAGAGTCCTAGATCGAGGGACGAGAAGAAGAAGTGGATTTTTAGGTCAAACGGCTGTGAAGTGGAAGAATCTCGTTGGCAGAATATTGGTGACAGCGAAGTGGCTGAGCCGAGCTCGTAGCTGCGGCTGGGATTAGACCGAAGGGAAAACCTAGTGGAAAGTTTACGGACCTAAGACATTTGCGAGATGGGTAATTGCGAGGGCTCCCTATGGGAATGGCGGACTTGTAAACTCGCTGGATGCGAGACAGCTAGTAGCTACGAGCTACCCTCGCGGGAGGAGCAAAGTCTCGGACGTGAGACCAGGTTCATGGTCACGGTTTCGTTGCTGGTAAAATGAATTTTCTTACGATAGCTTGGCTGCTTCTGCACCTTTTGTGTGTCCTTGGCAATCGGGCAGAAGATTGGATGGAGGAAGAATTTTCTGGGATCATCTTACTGGCGAAATAAAAATAAAGGGACCGGGGGGAAGTGGAACTGACAGTCGAAGATTACAATGGAGGTAATTGACCGTTGCTGGGCTAATGAGAGGCAAACGAGGGTTGTGAAATACTCCTTTAATAATACCTGACGAAGCAAATATATATATATATAAATCTATGATACATCCGCGTCTCGGGGCCAGTCGTTAAATAGAACTCGTCTTTCGCCGCTCCAATGGATCGCTTGTTCCTCGCGAACAAAGCAAGGGACGCGACGAAGTCGAACAAGGTTCCTTTCAATCTTTTTTCTTTTTTCTTTTTTACAAAAGCTCCTTAAACTAGTATCGTAAAAAGTGTTCGATGCTTGCAAATCTGGCACTGTTCCTGCTGCGTGCAACTCGAGTGTGACACGTCCGTGTATCAGGCACGAGTTCATCGTTGCCGGAGGAGCAACGATTAGGAAAGAGAAGGAAACGAGAGAGCACGATTTCTCCGTAGCAGTCTTGCCACTCTCGCGCACTTATTATCACAGACAATCGACGATAGGCGTTCGTTATGCCCTCGTCATGTTCGCGGACTCTTGGTCGGGTTTGGTGGGTAGCGGCCTGTTCGCCATCTTGCTCGCCGGAGTGGAGGTTTGAGGCTCGGGTAGCTCTGAGTAGAGATGAGCAGTGGCGTCGGACGGTTCGGCGTATTCGCAGAGCAGGGAGTTGGGCCTCTTGTTGTTGCTGGTCTTCGCTCCCCCGAGAATACTCTCGCCGAGGGCCTTGAGGAAGCTCATGGGTCTGCCCTGGTTCCTGGGCGCCTCGAACTTGGGGCTCTCCGGGGGCCTGTGGTTCTCAGTCTTGGGGGTGCAGAAGGGTTGCTTCGAGTGATCGTTGATCAGGTGATCGTTCACCACGTCAGGGGGCAGTGGTTGCGGCGCTCTTCCAGCCAAGGTGGCCAGGATGGGCTGAGAGAGTCGACTGGTGCTGGGTACGGTCTCGTCACCGGGTAGCTCGGCGTACAGGTGATTCTGCTCGGTGGGCTTCTGATCGCGAGGTTGCGTGTATTCCGTCAGAGGTGGCCTGGGTTGTATTCCGCTGGGTAATAATTTCTCCAACGAGGGTGCCTTGGTGCCGACGCTGACGGATGGCTTTGGGGTACCCCTGGCTCTCCTCTGCCTTGGTCGAATCACGTCGTAAGCGTTCTCGTCCCTACCTGATGGTTGCCTGTCGTTGTTATTGTTGCAGCTCTCCTCCACCTTGATCAGATCGTACAGGTGTTCTATCATGTCTCTCGCTTGATTGTAATTATCAGGATCGTTCAGTCTCTCTCTCAGATCCCTCAGGTACTCCTCTGTCAGCTCCTCCGGTAACGTTTGCGTAGCCTTGTTCTCGGTGTAGGGATAGAGTCCTTCAGCGTCCTCGTCGTCTTCCTCCGTTGCCTCTGCCTGCGTTTCCACGTCGAGAATCCGTGTTTCCGGTTGAAGACCCGCGTATTCGTGCACGCTCAACCTGGATATCGACCTGGCAGAGGTAGCAGCCGTCATACCGCTGCTGGGTGACAGCCAACTGGCGACATTCATCAGATGACCGGACGTGAGTTTCGGACAGATGCCACTGCGACGCATGTACAGGATTCCGGAAGCGAAGATGACCACCAGCACGATGAATACAGCTAACACGCAGATCACCACGATGATTCGCTTCTCGCGCTGCAATTGCTCGGAATCGCTCATCTCCACGTCGAAGTAGCCCTTGTGCCTGGGATACACATGAGGACCGACACTGGGTGGACTGACACTTGGTTCCGGCTTGGCAGACGGCTTCTCGCAGAGAATGTGATCCCCAGGCCCGCAGATGATCTTCGTGAAGTTCCTCATAGACATGTAGCCCTGGGGCAGATTGAAGCACCTGTCCAGGAGCTGGTCGACCATGCAGAAGCTCGAGTCCATCATCCACGACACCGAGCTGTTCTTGCCTGTCACGTCACGGATCCAATTGTCCAAACCGCATCTGCACTTCTCCTTGAAGTGATTATTACCGACCCTGGCAGTGTTCACTCGTTGAGAGATGGCCGCGAACTTCAGCGAACCCGGTCTCGCCCTCTCCACGTGGTTCCCGGTGAAAGAGAACTCGAAGTTGGGTGCCGAGGTTGCGTCCACCTCAGCCGTGATGGCGTCCGTCTCCAGGTCGACGAACAGGTTGTAATCGATGGCTATGTGATTCCATTGGTGCAGAGTGATCGCACCCTGATGCAGGTTCAGGAATTCGTTGTTGTTGAAGCTGACCGTGGCAGCGGATATGTCGATGGCGCCGGTTTCCACCTCGGACAGTCTGCAAAACGCCAGAGGAAACTTCGCCTTGAACTTTCCACGTTACCCAAACTTTCTCCGCGGAAGTTTAAACGGCAAGTTTTCAACTACGCTCCGCGTGTTTTCGCAAATGGAAAATGGAATTATCTCGCGTCGAGTCGGAGATATTAATCTGCCGGGCTAAATGATGGTGTAATTAATTTCACCGGGTGACTTTGAAACAAAGTGAGCGCGAGACGCTAACGAATGGGGCCAAGCGTGCGAGATAAAAGGGACATTCTTGGTACAGAGGACTGAGAGTAGAAGACCAGTTCGATCGAATTATCGCGCTGTTATTTCCGTCCATTCCCGGCGTTTTAAAACTCCGTCGCTATCGCTGCGAGACTACAGCGAAGGCTCGATAATCGCGAGGAGGAGAGCAAACATCCCTGATCAAACAACGAGCGAGACAAAGGGAAACGAGCGGCGGGTCTACCTTGAATATTGTATCGTGAGGTTGTCGTGGCCAGCCCGGAAGGCTCCTCTCTCTATGCTCTTCAATCTCACGTCGGCGAACTCCAGGCTGTGGATTAACGCCCGCTCGCTGAACGCTCCCGTCTCGATCTCCAGGATCGACGCGTTGCTGATCGTCACGCTGAAGATCGTCATGGCGCAGAAGGCGTTCTTGCGGATCACCTTTGTCCAGATATCGTCCATCTGCACCTCCGCAACCGCCGATGGGAACACCGCTGTCGGCAACTCCGTGATTCTCACGCTTTGGAACATAATCTGCTCAGGGGTGGAAATAGAAATCCAGATTATAGCCCGATCTCTGCAACTGCTTAGATTAGTAAATCGCCAATCTCTGGGCAAACCTATACCCCGCTTATAATCATCATCCTACTCGGGTATGAAGATAAACTCGCGAAACATGGGAATGCAACGAAGGAAATGATCTATCTAGAACCAAAGACTATTCGCTTTCTTGGGTACTTTACACATACCTATTCTTACCATAAGGGGATCAAATGATCCCTCGTGGTACATTAAGTATACAAGGAATATTTGTCACTGAAAAATAAGTTAACTCTTTGACTGTCACGCCGAAATCACATGTTTCCCTCAGGATGTCACGGGTGTGCAAGATGCAAGATTTGTTCTAATACAAATTTATAATCGTTCAATTGGGCACTTTCTATTTCAAAGTATCTTCTAATTAGTGGTTGTATTTAGAATGCACTAACTGTCAATTTTCATTCAGTGTTGTTCAGTGCAGTCCAAGCATCGTGGAGAAACCGTGGTTGGTCATATATGACCAACGTGACAGTCAGAGTGTTCAGAGAAAAACGGAAAGCGAGATATTAAACAATCGGATAATATACGAATTTACAGAAAGTCGGATGAGCAAAAGAAATAATAAATGTATATGGAAACGTGACGAAGAAAATGATCCACCTAGGCCTAAAGACTATTCGACTTCTTGGGTACTTCTTGGGTCATCGTTTGAATTGCCTCACAAGTGACAAACAGTCTCTGATCTCGCAGAGGTTAACACTAAACGTACTTTACACATACCTATTCTTACCATAAGGAATGAAATGACTCCTCATGGTACATTAGGCATGCAAGGAATATTTCTCGATAAAACCTAAGTTAAGAGAATTTACAGAAAGCCAAATGAGCGAAAGAAGTAACAGTAAAAGTACAATTATAAAGTAAATTTAGGGAAGGGTTATTCGACCCCGGTTTAGTGTTAATCGAGCTGACGTGAAAATCGATCTGACAGATCACCTGACCTTTGTCGCTGGTCCATGCCTGCCGTGCTGAGAAGCCTCGAGCTTGAACGCGTTGCTAGACAGCTCCAGGGTGGGCACCTCCCTGACCCTGATCCAGAGCAGCCTGGAGAAGGCGTTGGGCTTGATCCCGACGTTCCTGCATCTCGATATCGAGACGCTCAGCGTCCCCCGCGAGTTCCTGAACGCGTTGCTCTCCAGGATCACGCTGTTGCACTCGGACACCTCTAGATGCGTGTTCGGGGCGCTGAGATTCTGGAAGGCCTGCCTCTTGGCCACCACGCTGTAGATACCGGACACGTGCACCCGTTTCACAGGCGCCCCATCCGCGAACGCGCCCGACTGGATCCTCAACTCCCTGCAGTGAGAGACCTCCACCTCCATCGCCTCCAATGGAACGGCTCCCTCCAGTAACTCCACGTCCTGACAGCAGAAAGGGGAAATAAAATTGGTTATTATGGCGTGGCCGGTCCTCTTCGACGACGCGTTAACGGTGGAAAGAGGTATTTTAATCCTCCGGGCCAGTTTCCAACCAGGGCTGCGAAGAATGTCGGGGCTCTGTCGATTCTGCCAGTTATATGGGGTGTTTCGAAAATTTATACCTGACCGGCTATGGGTGGGAACCTGAGCCACAATGCGGGTGAAAGACGTGAGTTATCGTGGGTTTATGTTCCCGGTATAAATCATATTCCTCTATGGATTGTGATCCAGAGCTGACTGATGACGCATAAGTATACACAGCCAGGGCTTTTCTAGCAGTAGATCATCTTCTATCCGGGATCTTTCGTGAGGAAAATTTGGGATTTCATCAGTGGTAGTAAATCGGTGAAACTCGGGTCACCCGTAATTGGTCGTGTCAAAGGGGGGTTGGGAATATTTCGTGATCCAGAGCTGACTGGATGACACATCAGTATACACAGCCAGTGGTTTTCTAACAGTGGTTCATCTTTCATCCGGGATCTTTCGTAAGGAAAATTCGGGATTTCATCAATGGTAATACACGTTTGAATCGGTGAAACTCGGGTGACCCGTAATTGGTCGTGTCAAAAGGGGGGCTGGGAATATTTCCATTTTTATTGGCACTACAGACGACGATGGTCCGCACACGGTGGAAGAGTTCAATTTCAGCCGTCATGAAATTTATGTAATTGCAAATATCATCCTCTCGATGGGATTCTCTCCCTTCGCCAGTAATTCCGCAACGATGAAAAGAGAGGCCAGGGGCGACAGGGGCTGTGACGCGCGGAGAGGGGGTTTTAATAGACCCCCGGAGAATAATTTCTCGGAATAATTTGCGTGTTACGACTCGGACGGCGATGAATAATAATTAGATAGTTAAAAATCTGCATAATGAAACGGAAGTCCTTTGGCCTGTCGCGTTTCGAAATCAACAAGTGAATTTCTATTGGACCGAATTACCGGCGCAGCTGTAATGGCGACGGTGGAGGAGAGGCGAATGGGGAAAAAGAAGAAATACGGTGCGAGATAAACTCGACGACCCGGGACACTAGGTTCATTGAACGTCCCGTGATAATTAATGTTGCGGTTGTTAATTAATCACCCTTGCCATCGTCTCTTTTGAAAATTTCGATACCGTTCGCCCCCTCTGCTCGAAATTCAATTAAACTGTAATTACCTCGTTTTTCCATTTTAACCGAGTCTCGCCGTTTCCAAAATTTCTACGCGATTCAGCCATTTTTATTTCTATTTTTCACTTTTTACTGTCATTATTTTAGTCCATCGAAATTATATTTCCCCGCGTATCGGTAAAAATGTTTTTACATTATTCGAGGTCGCAGGGAGAATTATTTTATATTATAATTATTCTAGCTTTCGTAAATTAATTAATTTTATTTCCGTCGCTTCGTCGATATTTTTCCCGTGCCAAAAAATTTCGTTAATTAATTCTCGCGAGATAAAAATATGGAATGCAGAGAACACGATTCTTGGCCCACTTAGAGCGGAAGTGGAATGGATAATGAGACGGAAATCGCGCGAGTGGAAAGTGATTCACGCGAGTGGAACGATTATCGATACTATTTGCGTCGTGAACCATTCCAAGGTTACTCGTTTACATGTCGGAACACTCATTCTTGTACCGCATCCAGGATTTTTATTACTAGGTGCCATTTTCTACCAACAAAACCGTGCCCCCTTCAACGTGAAACGCTTCACGGGTTTATCTATGGGGATATAAACACAGGTGAATCTTGTCCTCGAAGTAACGTAAACGAAAAGGCAGAGGTAGCGGATTATGGCAGCGTGATCCGTCGATTGAATTAACCCGTCCGTCATTAGCACGCAGACGTACACGCGAGGCGTGCGTTTTCGGTGACATACTAATCACGTTCCCAGCGAAAGAGAAAGAGAGAGAAGGTAGGAGAGAGAGAGGGAGCGAAATTGTTGGCCCACGACGAGTTACCTTTAAAAGTACTTCCGCTGACGTCGGCTTCCTGGCTGTTCCCCGCCGTTTGTCAGCGCGCCAGTTTAATGAAATGTTCGAACGCCACGCCAGGCAACAATCCCGCTGTTTCCCTTTCAAACGTGCTCGCGACGAGTCGAGCAATTACCCAAACGTTGGGCCAAAATGGAAAAAAGGGTGTGCATAGCCGTGCCGCGGGAAAATTCGCGGACTCGAAACGGCGGACGAGGGTGTATACGCGTCGTGCCCCCCTAAAAAGTTTGCGGACGCAGGGAGAAACGGAGCACGCCTGTCGCTCGGATTGGCCCTGTCTCATTTTTCCACGGGATTGCCCGAACCACGGTGATTTATATTCACCGCGTTGCGGGGTTTATCTTGGCAAAAAGACGAGCGAATTGGACACGGCGGGAGAGAAAGAGAAGGGACTATCTCGCAACCGGTTCGGAAAAGCTATCCCGCATGGCGACGCGGTGCCGGACCCCGACGCTCGAACGTCGAGCCTGGAAAATCCCGGACCGACGTCCAGGCGGGATATAAGCCGCGGTAGAATTTGAAATTTACATGAGAAAACACGGTGTGTCGAGCATGCATGGACCGGGGGGACATCGTGTATCGATGGGACGATAACCGGTCGGGATCCGATAGACAGAGAACACCCTATCCCTAGGCTAGGTATCCCTAGACGCGGGGTAGACTGGGATTCCGGGGAAGAGAACGGTCCGACAAAAGATCGGGACCTCCTTCCGGGAACCCCTGACGAGGATTCATTGTGTTGCTTGCGAGGCAAAGCTGTTCTCGAGGAGTCCGCGAGTGTTCGGATGGGCTCGGACGACAAAATCGAGGTGTCGCGTCGGGGTCCTCCGGCTAAGCCTCCGGCAGACGATGCTGTAATCCCTTAATACCCTCGTATCTCGAGCTCTTTCCACGGCGGGGGAGAAAATTCCCGCGGTCGAACGCAACGCCGAGAAAAATGGCGGAGCTTCCGATGGAGTCGAGGGTTTCTCCGGGGACTCGGTTCCTGCCACTTTCCACGTTGGATCCTCCGCTTTTCCCGACAGGAATTTTCCACAATTTGTTTATCTTTCTCTCCACGTGCTATTCTCGGTGCGTATCCGCGCGTTTCGTTCCTCTTCGAGGTTCCGAGCAGGGCCTGCCCCTCGTACCTTCGCCGCGATTCTAAATTCGTTATCTGAGGGATATTTTCGGTCACGGGATATCACCACCTACTAGCTCGGAATCATTGTAACGAGCTTGGCCTATCGGAAAGAGACGCGATATTCTTCCACTAGCATCGGGATAATTAAATAATCGTTGTTCCACTGTGGCTTCTGTAAATCACTACGCCATCTGGCCGCACTCGTGTCCCGCTTTGACACGGTAAACCAGGCGGAATGGAGCCGGCTCGACCTGCGGTTCCTAATCCGCGTTGCTTCGCGAAATTATACCCCGTGGAGCTAAATTTCCACTGTTCGCTTCCTGTTCCCGTAACGACCATGTTGGCTCTTACATTTTCAGAGCATCGTGATTGGAAACATCTTTGCTAGGTAGACAAATGGTGTACTTATTCGGTATGGTAATTATTCTTTGACGAAAGGACCTAGATTAACTCGGGTCCTGTGTCATACTTAGAAATATCCATAATTTTGCGTTGTTGTTAGATCTGTTAAAAGATGGAGATATATTTTTAACCATTTGCACTCGAGAGGTGACCCTCAGTCACCATTTCATAAAATTTGAAAGACCGATATTAATTAATATATCGAATTATACAATAATTCTACAATTTTATTATTATATTATTCTTCATTTACTGCTCAAGAAAGTATCGTCAGTTTTTTAGTAGAGAATCTTTGAATTTCTACTTTTCTCTAGCCAAAAAATCATCGAGTGCAAGGGGTTAATAATTCCGATTTGTCAGGCGTGTTATAGTCTGTGACATAGGCCATCACTGACCTGATGCATATGAATGTGCTATTAAAATTCTTTGTAATACAAATATGTTTGTTAATAATAGGATTAGTAAAGCTATCTAGGGTACTCGCATATGTACACAGTGAACGATATAAAATAACCGAGAGGGGAGAGTATGTCCCTGTCGTCAGGTACCGTAGACACGTCTACTATCATTCCTTTCCAACGATATATCCAGTTTACCAAGTGATCATCTCTCAAATATTCGAAGACTCAAATGACAACTAAAAAAGTCCCAAGTTTTGACACGATTTTCCTATCACCGATTCTGACAAAAATACAGTAAGAACACCCTGTATATACACGTCTATATTCAACTGACCGAGACCGGAGCGGAAATACAAACAGCTGCGTGATCAGAACAGGTACACAGCTAGGGAGACGCATACGTACCTAGGGGCCCCTCTCAGGGGCCACTGGAAAGCGTCCCTGAGCAGCAGCCACTTATCACGTGAACTTCTGTTTATATTTCCTGTCAATTCTCAACACCCCAATTGCAATTCGTCCGTCAGAGTGTACACCATACGTCGTTTTCCCTGCTCGGATATTCCCCGAAGCTGACTCAAAATCGGGAACACTGTGTGGATGATCTCTTGGTGTTGCAAGTGTTCGTAGATGGACGGATGATTCACCTAGTCGCGCCTCCGCTTTTAACTCCGCTCGCGGTTACGTGGTCGTAACGCGAAGCCGAGTGTCGTTTTTCCCTGGTCTTCTAGGTCTCTCCGTCGCGATTCCGCTTCGATCTCGGGCCGACCAGCTCGCCTTGAACTCGCTAGCTCAGGTGGAAAAGCGTCTTGGAGGGACGCGCCTGTCGTCGCGCGGATTAACGCCTACGCGGATGTTAATTGGACCGGGCGAACCGGGACGAAGGAACGGTGTCAGGGAATCTGCTACGAGAACAATGGGGCCAGTGTGCCTGTCTGCTTGCAAGTCGCTGGAAATTACTTACCACGCGAGACTTGTTTCCCGATTGTCAGCCCTGGTTAGAGCTCGCGGCAGGCGTCCCGAAGCTTGCACTTGCAAACGCCAG